GGTGGTGGTGGTGGTGGTGGCGCTGGTGCTGGTGCTGGTGCTTGTGGTGTTGTTGTCGTTGGTGTGGTTCTTGCGGTTGTGGCTGTTGCTGTTGCTGTTGCTGCTGTTGTTGTTGTTGTTGTCGTTGTTGTCGCTGTCGTTGTTGTAGTCGCTGTCGTTGTTGTTGTTGTTGTTGTTGTTGTTGTTGGCGGTGGTGCTGGTGCGGGTGCTGCTGTACTATTGTGCTGGCGTGCTGCTGTGCTGGTTCTTCGGCTGGCGCTGGCGGCGGTCGTGGTGGTGGCCATTGTGTGCTCTTCTTTTTGTTGAAGCTGCTGCCGTGGATTATGCTGTTTACTAAACTGTTTATGGCACTGATGGCTGACAGCTGCTGCTTAGCAGGCCAGAGGCTGACACTTGTCCCTACCCCCCGAAACAATGCAAAAGGGACCTGACGGGTCAGACAAGCTTCCTGGAAGGCACGCTTTCATGTTCTGAAACCATTTGCGAGGAAGCGCCGCCACATCGCAGTATTTCGAAGCCATCGACAAGTCTGAGCACAGCAGGCTGAGTGGTTTCCTCCTGTGAACTCAATGAATCGACCGACCACATAGCTTTCGCTGAAACTTCTGAATAAAATATTCTATTTGCTGCAGGTGGCTGGTCTGCTGCGACGCCCTTGATGTCGTAGATCCGGCGCACGCCACTCTTGCTGCTCACAGGAGTAACATAAGCGTGCTGAGTATCAGTGGGGATCACGCCCATGCCATTTCCAACTAAGCTCTGAAACACAGAGGCCAGCTGTGACACATGCGGCTCTTCCAAAGGCTCCTCAATTACGGCATCCTCCAAACTCACGTACAAGGCTTCTGAAGTTCTCGTCCTTTTGCGATGCTGTCGGCGAGCCCTGCACGCTGTGAGTGCAGCCCCTGCAGCCAGGCACCGCCAGCGGCACAGCTCTTGGCACTGCTTTCGAGCAATCACATTCCAGCTGCCGCATTGAGCCGCCAAGCTTTTAATACCTGAGTGTCGCAGGGGGAGGAATGGGCTGATCGAGTCGGGCCGCACTTGTCTGGTCGACTTTTCCTGTCGAGATGCCCCACCTCACCTTGGCCGGGCATGGTGGTGCCGCGGATCCAGCGACAAGAGCGGCCAGCATGGCTCGGCGAGGGCAGCGGCAGTTGGAATTCCAATGCGAAGTTTCTGAGATTTGATTGGCATTTGCCGCAATATTCGAGCAATCGATGTCTGGTATCTTTGCGCGCTGTTTGGTGTCGTTGCATGTTGCGAGAACGTGGCTGGGAAGTTGGCAATCTGCAGAACAAAGCCCGGAATGCAGGCGTCCTTAACATCGTCTGGTCCCGGATACTACCCAACACAACATGACTGACACCCACGCACATTCAACCCTAACCCCAAGCCCCAAACCCTTTAAGTTAAACTTAGATTCGAAGATGATTCGTTAAACGCCTTGATAGCTACTGAGGCCAGTGGCTGCTCCGGTCTTCAGTGCAATCCAGAACCTGAGCTGCTGAGGATGTGCTGACGCTTCGTGTATAGAACCTTCTTCTGGATTGTAGGTTTTTACTGTGGCTACGGCTACGGATTGATCATAGATAATTATGCCTGATCTGCACGACCCTCTCAGGTCTGTTGCCGCAGCAGGCAGCACTACTCACGTCAAACAAGCACCCATCGTGTTCCCTTCTGTTCTGCGGCGAAGTCTCCAATGCCCACCCGAGCCAACCCTGGATTTCGAGGCCGGGCCAGCTTCGACTGACAGTTTGTGTAAATCGAGTCATATTTGCCCCTCCAAGGCGTCTGCCGGGGGGCCAAGATTTGTGATGGAAGTGGCAGTGACAAGTCGTGTCGACCGGGACACTGCAACCGCTGAAGCGACATTTCTATGCAGCGGTGCTTATCGGAGAGCGATGCTGAGCGCCGGTCTCGCGGGTCGCACCGAGAGAGATGCTGACCACTGGGCAGTCGGAGTCCTCCCATCTTGAGAATTTGGGTGTTCGCGACCGTCACAGCTGCAACTGCGTGGGCCTGCCGGCCTGTGGCATCATAAGCTGGGTTGAAAGAGTCATCACAAGCCCGCACAAGACAACAGCGTTGGCTCAGCGGAGGCCTTGCCGCAGAAGAGTGATTCATCGTCTGCATGCCAACCTGGTTGGATAAAAACTTCTCCAGGCACTGTAGCAGCCACAAACCATACGCAGACTCATTCTTTAGCAAGCGGTGTGCACCGAGACAATATACGTACAGCATGTCGAGCTACGTCCTCCCTTCCACTGATTGGGAAAACCCCCATCAGCTTCTGGGCGCCCCCGCCAACACCCTGGCGGCCGTCACGGTACAGATTGATGTTGGCGCTGTTGGGCCAAGCCTCCTCTGAAGAAGAGCATGTGGGGCTGTAGAGAACGGAGATCTGCATGCATAGTGCCACTGTGACAGTCGCTATTACGAACAACGCGCACACGAAAGAGAGCTCTGATCAAGGATGCTACTGCACAAGCCCTCGTAACTTGTGTACGTACGTCGAAGCATGCAAGAAACACGAACACGGCTGCCTTGCCTTCTCCAATCCAGGGAAAAGGTCGCCGAACACGTGTTGCATGATCTCCTGGCCACCGAATCGTGAGCTGCGGCTGGGTCCCCACATGTGGCTGCAACACGATCTGAAATGCAGTTGTGCGATGAGCCCCTAGCTTGCCACCTGCTCTCCATCTCCCCCTCCTTCCATCTGCCCTCGATACCTCCGTATTATTCTACCTGGCCTTGAGGAGAAGCAACCCTGGTCAACTCCGCTCGCGCAGGTTTGCAGCCGGAAGTCCGAGTCTACTTGGCTGCGGTCGCAACTTCTCTCTTCAGGGACATCATTCTTCTGCAGCTACTTTTCCCCTACCTTCGTCTTTGTCGTCTGCCCACTTTCTCTCGCCACCGTACTTCTGATCCGGATCGAAACATCTCAGCCAAGTCATCCTCCATTGCATCCTTGAAGCCGCTCAGCGACTCGTCCGAGAGGGGCTCCGCCTCATTTGTGCACGGAGGAAACCAGCACATGCTGCAGATCCAAACAACAGGCCAGGCCGTCACACCGTGGCTTCGGGCATCGTGGTTTCGAAAGATTGCAGAATCATGCTAGTACACCGGATGCGCACTGAGTGCACGAAATGAATCTCAATGATTGAAGCCGCGCGCAACAGTCAAGCCTCCACGGATCCATGGATGAACTGCGGAGCTTGCAGACACAGGCTTGAGGTCGAAACGGTTAGTGCATCAATTAGCAGCTGTGTTATTCTTGTTGGTGCTATGATTGTTACTATTGTTACTACAATTATTACTGTGGATTGTTCAGACTGAAAATTAATATGGGCGCCTTAATAATTAGAATAGGGTTTTGGCTTTGGGTCTCCTTATACCATAATTATAAAACGGAACCCCCAAAATAATGTGGGTAATTACTAAGGCCCCTATATTAGTGCACCCAAAGTGTGGACTCCAAAACAGTTGGACTGCTGAAGGTCTGTTGAGGGTGTCAAGTGTCCTGTGTTTCAAGCGGCTCCTTTGTACCCTCCTTTTGTTCAGGCAAAATATAATGGCAACAATAATAAATATTTGTGATAACAACACTTATGCTCATAATAATGGTAATAACAGTAATAATAAGCATAAGAATAATAGTAATAATAACAATAACAATAATAATAGCACCAATAATGCTAAATATCATAGCACGACTTCAGCATTCTGCCAAGAGACCTTTAGAAAATCTTACAGAGCCAGGCCGCCATGGCATGTAATGTCACGGAATTCTAGGTCTTCAGGACTGAAGTACCACGTCTTGACGGCATTGAGAACCGCTCTCTCATTTGCTTCGGACTATAGACCTTCAACTCTTGCTTTATCTTGCTTTAGCACTGGCTACAAATGCTGACCTCATCCAATAGAGCACATGGCAGTCCCCGGTGTCTATCTAGAATCTACAATATCAACAGCAATCCCCACAAATTAACGAACAGAGTCCCATGCGCCTGGTCTGAGCCGGTCATATCCTCCACTTGGGCACGACCTAGGTGGAGAGCGCTTCGAGTGGCTGTGCCGGGCTGGTGCTTTTTCTGGGAGGCTTGGTCAAATCTGCGCTGCGCAGAGAACAGCCGCCAGCTGCATACTACGCTGCGCTGCCTCAGCTCTAGTGTCTAAAACGTCCAGCACAGGCAAGCTCAGCCTCGACAAATGGTGGCCATAACGAAAACAAACCACGCTCCACGGTTCTCGACCCCTTCACGACCAATTTAGCTTCACACTTCGGCACAGGACCAGCAACACGATGTCCACTCAAGCATTCGAAGGCATCAACCCGCTGAGCGAGGCCCCTGCCGTCTGCAGCATTCATCACATCAGCATTGGTCACCTCAAGCAGGCTGAGTTTACGATACTACCATGTATATAAACGCATGTCCGTGAAGCCGGATGAAACTCGGCGAAGAGAGTTTCTCGCTGCAAAGTCGAAATGCCGCACTGAAGCTTTCGAGGGATCTCCCTCGGCTTCAGGCAGACGTGCAAACGTCCCGGCCACTGCCTTGTGCGAGTGGCCCTCGCAGCTATAAACTACGATGTGAATTGCTCGGTGCCCGGTGAGAGGGGGAATGTGTGGAGTCCTCAAAAGCCAGGCGTTCTTTTTGTGGATTTAGCAAGGGCTCGCGGCTGGGATGGCTATGTTCGAGCCGGCACACTCGTGGACTTCGGCGTTCTTGACACTGACGCAGTTCAGGCAGCCTTTGCCACACCACGAGCCCCAGAAGCAGCTCCAGTTGCAGTTAGAAGCACCTCAGAGTTGAAGCCCACTGTCACGCATGAGAAAGCTTACTCGACACGTTCGCTGTGCATCCGAGAGGCCATACGAGGCTGAAATGGAAAAGCAGCTTGCGCAACTTCTGGCGAGCTGGGTGTTGTCCTGGTCTGTGCTCCCAAGAACTTGACATGTAAACTTGCTCTACGGACTGTCTGCAGCATCAGTGTGGACATATTTCTAATTACTACTCAGGTCTGCTAGGAGGCTCGCATCATTGCACCAAGCTTCCACGAGACAGCGGAGAAAATCATTGTTGCGGAAGCCCGTGAAAATGTTGAAGCTCTTCTTGCCGCAGTCAGACAGGATACGAGGGAAGCTGTTCTGCCCGGAGCCTGGGAGACAGCTGCTCAGATCTGCTGGTTACTGGGTTAATCTAATCCGATTCTGTACTAAAGTCAAACAAAACGGAAGTGGAAGTTTGAATCCGGGCCACCACTTCCGAATGCCGTCATGAGGGTTTCGTCGGCTTTTGTGCACAGGCCCTGGCCTGCAGCTTTGGCAGCTGCACCTTCTTGGGGATGTGTCGCTGCAGTGGCATTTAAGGCACTGGTCGCATTCTTGCCTGCTCCTGACGTGCGCACAGACCGGAAACTTCCCGGTTGTCCCTTTCAATTCTGCTAGGCGGTTATGTCTTTGCCGTGATTACTTCCTATGCTCTTCATCATGAACCAGTCATATTACCAAACATGTCTCTACTTTTACAATTACAATCATAAACCCTACACCCAACCGTATCAGAGAAACCTCAAAGCTCCTGGCGCTTCCCGGAGGCCTTCCGCTTCGAGGCCGGTGAGGAGAGTCAAGAAGACCAGGCTTGCGAGCATCATCTTTACACCTAGTAGTAGTAACAAGAATAGTAAAACTAACAGTAGTAGTAGTAGTAGTAGTAGTAGTAGTAGTAGTAGTAGTAGTAGTACTGGACACCGAAGAATCCAAAGACTGTGCGGCACTCTGGCTTTCTGCCGAGGAGCGGGGTGAACAATAGCTGTTCGCAGCCACACTTGGTATGGCGCTGATGCTGCAGAAGCGGCTGCGGCTTCTCGAGACATGAACCAACAATGCCAAACGATCATGCCCGCGCTCCGCCCGACACTTTCAGCAGCTCTGTGGAACGGTGCTACGGCTACGTTGAATCGCTCTTACGCTGAGAAGGCGGCCCGCGTCTCCCGACCATAGGCATAGTCGCAGGTACATCCGCCAGAGGAGAACCTGACCATGCTTGTGACATTCCCGGCACTGGCTACGAGTGGACGAGCTGACAACATCCAAGCATATGGCCTACATCATCGGTTTGTACTCTGAAGAATGACCCATGACAAATTCCGGCTGCGTGCCAGCAGGTACTTCGCGTCACGCTCGTCCCCTGAGGCAGTACAGGCAGCAGAGCACATCGTTGCAGTAGTTTCCTGGTCTTTGGCATTCTGTTCCACTTGAAGGATCCTCAGGGCCTCCTTGACACGACTCCCTGCCTTCGTGTTGAGGAGCTCCACCCAAGGCCTAAGCGATCAGTCGCTTTCAGCATGTTCCTCAACTGTCCGTGAGCTAGGCGATTGATGCCATATCGAACTGCAGGACAATATAGTTTTTCTGCATATGGTCTGCAGCGACTCAACCAGAACAGAGGCTAGAAACACTGCCCTAAGCAGCACAGTACGACACCATAAATAATCATCTTCCCCGCATGTTCCAACTTGTTTCCCATGTCTCTCTGTGTCTTTCATATTTGCGTTGGCACAAGGCATTTGAACATAAGTAGTCCGTGCGAGCTAGGTGTGAGAGGCGGAAAAGCAAGCGGGATCTACGTGGTGGCATCGTCGAGAGGATCCACGTAACACCCATCCTCTTGCCAGCCGAAGTTTAAGTGTAATACTTTGGCGACCTACGAGAGAAACGAGAGCCCCGACCCATGGAAGTGACACCAAGCTTCGCACGCAGTCCTAAAGCTTCCTGGCAACTTGAGGGTCACACCAGACAAAAATTTTGACATCCAAAAGCACTGATCTTAAGCCGGAATCACTCGTGATCTCGGAGTCCCAAACCCATCCAAACCCACAAGGCGAGAACACTGAAGTCTGGGGCACAAACGCAACAGATAGCAGCTTGAAGAAGAAGTCCTGCGACTTCTCCGCGGTGATGGCCTTCAGGAATATGGAGCATGGAGGCTCAAGCAGCAGACCTAGCGGCCAAGACCTCAGCTCACTGTGCAGATCAGATGGGCCGCTTTCATAGAACATGCAAGGAAGCAGAACCAGTGGCCTGCGGCCAGTGGAGGGAGAAGCATCGGCGATCTTCATCCAGTACCAGCGGGTGCCAGCTGCAAGGGAACATGTCGTGGTCTCAACGAAACGCGAGTAGGGTGCAAAGACCTAGTTTGTACGGTCACCGTCAGCCTCAAGGTATAGCGCACCTGGTGTTGAAATGCACGGGCCCTTTCATTCTATCCTACACCGTGTTCTGCTCTCAACCGCCCAGGAGAGGTCAAGCTTGTGTCGGGGCCTTCTACTCGGACTTGTGGGTGCTGTGGCGGTAGTGGCTTGGATAGGCTGTTAAATTGAGTGATCGTTTTGAAGGATCTCCCACTTCGACAAGGATAACTCGGCGTTAGCAGCCGCGACTGAGCTACTGTGGCCTTCTTGCTGCTGCTGCTGCTTATTGCTTGCTGGAGGCCCTGTTCGTCTGACTCCACGATCTCTCGGCATGAAACTAAGTCGTTGCAACATAAACCCCTCTTACCCCACCAGCCCGAACCTGGCTGAGTGTTGTGTTCCACTAGGCCTTGACCAAAACAAACGCGCCACTACAACCGGCTGCCCACGTCACGCGGGCTAGGGAAGTGCCGGACGGGGGCTGCAGCTTCTCTTGCTTGCTTGCTTGCTTGCTTGCAGGGCGTTTGGAGGGGGGCTTCTCTCTCACTCTCTCTGTCTTACCTGCTGTTTCTGGACCCAGTTGCAGGTTTCCGAAAATTAGGGTACCGTATTTCGGGGCCCTTATAATAGGGATCCTACTATTTAGGGTACTATATTAGGTTCCCCTATCTTTGGGAAACCTCCAAATTTCAGGATCTCCCACCTTCCCGGAGCTGCCGCTGAGTACTCTGCCAGCAGCCGCAGCGGGGCCTCCGACCGCGACCTCGGCGGTGGGACAGTCGCCGCCTGCATCCGGCTTGTTAAAGCTCTAAGATTAGAAGTATGGGCCCCTAATATGGACCCCATGGTTTCAACTTTAGAAAAGCGGTATTCCTGATTCGCAGTTGAAGCATCTGTGTACCTTTTGGCAAACTTTCATGTTTGTGCTCCCGGTGACGTCGGCTTTTTCGGGAGGGAAGCTTCCACACAGGATCAGCCCGATTACCGCCTATGCTGTCACAAACTCGGGCTCTGAACTTCTGAGGTCTGCCTGATTTCTTGCCGCTTAAGGTCTTTTAGGTCAAGGCAGGGGTTGGATGTACCAGAGCAGGCTCTCCAGCCAGCCTTTTCTTTGACAGACCCGCGATGCCATTAAAAGCAAAGCTTCAGCGGCTTCCCGTATGAAGGCCGCTGCACACTCTCATCTTGTGTCGACAATGTGATTTTACACAGTCAGTGCACGAAGGACTTTCGTCATCGGTGAAGCAAGGGTTCAGGCAGTGGTCCCGTTTGCAACCGACCAGCTCGGCCATGCAAGAAGCACAGTGGCCGCTGTAGCCGCGTTTCTGCATGCAATCCTTCGCGCATGGGAAGCCGGCATACCAAGGCCCGCCGAACTTACAGGAGCGGCCACAGTGATTGAGGGCGGCATTAAAGCTCTGTTTTCCTCCGCCCCTCCAGACCGCCATGTCGCTAGGGTTTCGGCAGCTGCCGCGAAAGAGCCCAAGCTCCAGCGTCTCAGACAGGTCGCCATCATCAGAGACACCCAGTGAGGCCTCAAAGCTGCTCATCTTCATGCCTCGCAGCTGGTGCAGCGCGAGACTGCACTCCCCGTCGCAGTTGTCTTCCGAGATGGCTGCTGCGACATCTTCCCCGAAGGCAACAGCAAACCCAAAGGAGAACACCAACAAAGTTGCCAAGGCCATGGCTGACCTGCGGCAACACGGCGCAAGCGCTTCAGTCGTAGCAAATGCAAAGTGTCCTTTGAGCCGTAGGGGCCCCTTGGGGGAGCATGACGGCCCCTCATCACTTCCTTATGAAATCGCGCGCACAGGGAGAGGTGCCGAGCTTCGTGCGGTTCCAGGAAGTCACCTGCAAAGCAAAGCGGCAAAAAAAGGCCACAAGGTGGGTAACCGGGCAACCAGCTCCGAGAGTCCGCCTGATGGGCGAGGCCACCTCAGAGTCCCCAAGAAAGAATAAACAACCCAAAGCAACCGCTTTTGGCCTCTTTTTTCCTTGGGATGCTCCTGTCGCTTTTTAATGCCTCGAGTCGAGTGAGAACTATTTTCAGGCCCAGGTGCGCATTTCCGAGCTTTGCATCGGCTCCCGGAAGCCCTTCGAAGCCGCCCGGCCTTGGACAAGGAAGGGGCATCGAAATGCAGTTGCCACTGAGCTGCTCTGTTGCCAATGAGCTTGCTGTCGTTGGTGTGACAGGCTGGTTCTTGGTGCGATTCTTTTATGTCCCATGCTGCAAATGTGCAGAGAAAGCCCACTTCTCAAATAATGGAGAAGCAAAATGCACAGCCTGCACCGGAGCCTATCGATGTGCCGGGAATGCATTGCGCTGCATGTGCCAGAGAACTCTTTCCCCTGAATGGTTTAATGCCAAGGAACATCGGTCGGGTGTGAAGGCCGGGCTTGAATGTAGAATAACTGAAATTTCTGGCCCACCTATGGCCTGGAAGCGAATCTCACCTCCTTAAACCCATACTTACCGCACTGACCCCGGAGCGTCCCGAATATGAAAGCTGCCCATGGTGTACCGCGCACGCTTACTGTATGTGGCAGAGAACTCGAACTGGTTTTGGCAGCAAGAACTGCTTCTTGATTCATTCCGTTAAAGCAATTACAGGTATGCAGGCAGCCTTCTCGCTGGCACTGCCACGACCAGAGACAGAGAGAGAGAGAGAGAGAGCGAAGGTGAGAGGGAGAAAGAGACGACCGAGCGAGCTTCAACTGCAAACACAAGACCTCCAACAGACATCGCATCAACCAGCCGGCTTTCTCTTCTGCATGCAGTTTCTGAGACCCGCACTCTATTAACATGAAGGATCGCGTCGTTCAACCCATCGTGATTGCACATCAGTGAAGCTGCCAGCAGCTGCCAACATAAGCTTGGGTGTAAACATGAATGAAAATCCCTTTTGGCAATGCCATATCTCTGGCCATAATTTGTGGTTCTGTTGTTGACAACACCCGAGCACTTGAAAGGGGCAGCACACATAGATCGCAGATGGCCACTGCGAGGTGCCACACAAACTCCAGGAGGATTCCCCCGCCCCTCCGTGCACCCCAATTCTGCACGAGCTCCTACGGACGAACAGACTGGTGAGCCTCGAACAATGCCTACGGCAGTCTGCAGCGAGGCCCGTGGGGTCTTGTGCCCGCTCACAGCAGCGGCTTTCCCACGGCAATGGCATCCTCGCAGTGCGCATGTCCGACACAGCCCATGCAATACGAGCACAAGGAAGCCCGGGCAGCAAGCTGGGTGGTCCGAGTCCATTTCTTCCTGCAAAATTCGACAGTTTGACTCGACAAGCCCCTGCAAGTTTCTGAGTCAACGTGAGCCTGCTCCACACTATGTACACAGCATCCGCGAGCCAACGACAAGGTGCCTGCGCAAAGCCACAGAATCGCACGTGACAGCATAATGAGAAGTGCATCACTCTTCAGACTGTACACAATACGAGGACCGTGACAACAGCTCGATCGGAAGACCTCTGTCGAACGCAGCCGGGCAGCTACTTTTTCCAACAGTGCAGGCGAGCCAGTGGAGTTTCATCTTGCCGTGGCTGAAAACTGTGAAAAGTGGAGTGTCAAGGCTGCACACCGTCAGGTCTGGTGGCATCACTGTCGCATCATGAAACAGCACCCGCAGCTGTGCAACGGGAGTGCGGCTTCTACCTGGCGAGATGCCACTCAACATCCCTGGAGGGTTCTGCGGAAACCTTCGAAAGGATCGGGTAAGGATGGGCAAGGGTGGGCAATAGCAACCCTGGTCGCTGTCAATTCTGTTGGTGGTTGGGTTGCGGGGGGTGGTCTTGCATCACGCGCGCTTTATGGTGGAGCCGCTTATTTGCGCTTCAGACAAACGAGAAGTGAATGATGTCGTAGCGCATCAACCACGGCGACAATCACAATGAGACTGGGACCAGGAAAGAAACTTTATCGCAAAAGTCTTCTCGCATGCGTGACACTTCCCCAAATGCACCGGAGCTCCTACAGTACGACTACCAAGTCTCTACACTACACCCCAGTAAGGACTCCAAGTCCGCAAAGTTCATGACTCCATCACTATGGACCTGTCTGAAGCTTCGGCCACTTCCTTCTCCAGCTGCAAGGCTTCCTTCCCGGCTGCACCACTCAACATCGAATCATCACAATAGGGATTCGGGACAAAATGCGGAGATTGTACGGGGATCTTGCTTAGTCGGACCATGCCAGAGCCCTGCGTTACTTAAAATCTCGAAGGCTGGGCTGAGGTAAAACAGCTGCGCCTGCGGCCTCTATCATGGCCAATCTGCTAATTATTGTATATTGATATTATGCCTTTTTGGTCATCACATTCTACACATTTGTCAGAAGATTCACAGCGGTATCTGCTTTCTAACTCATAGTCATGCTGTCTGCTGAAGCACGCACTGTAGAACTTGGCGACGGCGCCTGGAATGCCGTGGGTCTGCGCTTCTTGCGCTTCAACCGCTTCGCCTCCTCAGCAACCAAAGGCAGGATACGGACCCCTGAAGGAGTGAGACAGAATGCGCGCAAATGCTGTGAGAGGGCATGCTGCACGAGACAATCCCACATCCATTCCAACTGGAGCTACGACTCGTTGAATCGTCTGGGCGCCCTGCTCTTTCTGCCATCGCCTCTTCGGTGAAGTTTGGATCGACCCTCAGGTGCCATTTCGGGTCAAGACGATTCTTGCGCTAAGGCCCGCTAAGGCTGTGAACTTTGCAGGCGTTCGCTTCACACCCGCTCCAAACCCCTCCAATAGGCTCCACAATTTCTCCAAAGAATCAATCGCAGGCTGCTCAGGCGCCCGTGTTGGGCCCCGGGCCGGCCATCTTAAAGAAAGACTCAAGCGAGGGAGATGCCGCATTCAAGTGTAAGGAAGCATCTCCTCCTCTGGCCCCGAAGTACTGCTCCACAATCAGCTGCATTCCTGGCGAAGCCCAGGTCAGCAAAGAGTAGAGCTTAAAGCCCAGAGCTTAATAGTAAGCCCCTTCAATCCCGTAGCTCCAACAAGCCCGAACCTACTGTTTCTGACTCTGGATAAAGTTCCGACACTCGGTCGGACAAGGAAGACCAAACCCTCCTAACTCTTCTCCTGCCATCCCGTCGCCATAGATCGGTGCATTCACACTCAGGAGCGGCTTTCCAGACCTTCGAGGCATCGTGACTAGCATTGCTTGTTCTGGCATGTTCTTCTTAACAATATGAATCTTACGCATATTCTGATGAATGGGCATATTTGTCATTCGTAACACGATGATCGTTACTAATATCGCGATCAACACCACCACCACCACCACCACTACTACTACTACTACTACTCCTGCTGCTGCTGCTGCTGCTGCTGCTGCTGCTACTACTACTACTACTACTACTACTACTACTACTAGTACGCCACTACGCTCTCGGACTGGCCTGTGGAGGCTCCACAAGTCTAGGCCCTCTAGGCAGATTCCAGTTGCTGAAAACGTTTCAGCTTTCATTCGGCTGAGCGCCTTCGTGGCTGCAGGGTTTGAAAGGATTGCAGGAAAGCCTAAACCCTCCATCCCGTAAAACCCGCTTCGAAAATCTTAGGGTTCTCTAAACTAGGGTCCCCTTTAGGGTCCTTTTTATAGGACCTAAAAAAGGAACCCTAATTTAGAGGACTAGGTCTTCGAATTAGGAAGCTTCACGCTCTCCCAGACACCTGCCAGCCCGAAGGGGTGGCACCCACTTGGCCGCGGCAATCTCGCCGTTGTGCCTTCAAGGATCGCGTGAATATGCACACATCAGACATAGCTCGCAGCAGTCTTATGCACCCTCTGACAGAGGCCAAGGAACACAAGTGCCAGGCCGGAGGACAGCATGTCTATCTCGAGCTCGCCACTTCCATTCCCAGACTCCTCCACTGCCATGAAGCCCAGACGATCACCGCTTTGCAACTGCTGAGGCTCCCAAGGAAGTCGGATCTCAGCATGTGGCCCACCTCCACTCAATTGGAAATATGCCCCTGGCTCAAACATCGGACGGCCTTGCTCGGTCGGAGAGTTCTCCTCCAAAAGCGGCCCCTTGCCCACCAGCATGAGCTTCCAGGCGAAGAGGTCGGAATGAAGGGTGTTGATGATGCTGACTGGGATGCCACCACTTTTTGAACTGACCAGAGCCATACTCAAGATCTTATAGGCTTCTAGGTCCTGGCGATCGAAGCGAAGCTCCAGCTCTGCGTAGATACCCTGAAATCTCGAGCAAAGCCCGAAGCCCAGGCTGCGGGGCATTAGGAGCTGTTGCGAGAGTGCATTGCTAGTGCGCGCAGTGCTCACGATTTCCAGCTCCTCCCGCCTCAGTCATTGAGGCTTCCAACTCAAACTCAGACGGTGCAATGCCTTACGAGCAGATTTTTCGGTCGAAGCATCCTGCCTTGGATGCATGCCAGCTAAGTCCTGCCGCTCTCGACTGAAATCCAAACGAGGCCGCAGCCCGGGCAGGTCAAAGCTGATCACCAAGCTCCGCAGCCGAGCGCTTTCTGGGCTGTGGATCTCCCGATCCAAGTACATCGGCCGCGCAGAAAATGTTCGCAGTGCCAGTAGAAGTAAGCCGACGACTCTCCGACTCAGGCAGTTCTGTCCATCCATGAGAGGTCTTGGTGGCCCAAAATGGTGCCGCTGTTTCGAGGAATCGAGTGACTCGCGACCCAAGACTGGCACAGCCTTCCAGCTCTCTCCGTTCCAAGCAATGCTGCACAAACGACGGCAGCACGGAGCCAATCTCGCAAAGTCAGTCCAACCTTCAAGAAGGAAGCCAGCCACGAAACACAGCAGAGTGCCCGACAGCATGAACAGTCCGCTCATGGCTGTCGACGTTGTCGAGCTCGACATGTTGTGGACGTCACTCGAACTTGCGCTCTGCGGCCCGAGTGATCCGAGCGCATCCTTCCAGCGCTGCAGAGCCTGACATTGCCCTACGCTAGGCACCGGGACGGTCGTGAAGAACCGAAGGGCTTCGCGATGATAGAAGGAGTGGGCGACTCTCTCAAGGTTCTTGTCGGCTCCATCCTTCTCGGGATTGAAAGTCCCAGGAGACATCAGGACACTGTTCTCATAGTTCAAGAGGATCAACACCGAACCATGCAGGTGATCTCCGCAGTGTGCCCTCTGACCCCCCCGGATGCCAGCCGCAAGCTGTGTCAGCTTGTCACTCAGCCTGTCCTCCACACTCCGTCCCGGGTCCTCCTCGAGGTCCCTTTGCAGGCTTTTCTGAAGAATGCCGGCCACAAAGTTGTTTGCCTCGCTCAGGAAATGCTTCTGAGCATCAGGGCGCAGGAGCTCCCAGCAGCACCGCAACACCTTCTCAAAGCCTTCCCTCCTTTCCGGATCCTCAGAGCGATCCTGCGCGTCAGACGGCTCCTCAGAGTCCTCAGAGTCGTAAAAGAAAAAACTGGCAGAGCCGCCCTTAAAGCCTCTCGCTTGGCGCTTGTCACCCTTGCCACCCTTGCCTCCCTTGTAACCTTGGCCACTCTTGCCACTTGCCCTGGGCCTTCGCCTGCCGTTTCTGGCGGATGAATCCATCGACAGCAACGACACCAGACGCACCCAGAGCTGCAAGCCCTCTTGCAGAAAGTCCTGGGGGCCGCGAATACATGGCCGCAGCTCGCGTGTAATCTTTCGGAGGGCCTGCAGGAGGGTTTGGAGCTTGCAAGGGCCTATCAGGAGGAGTCTGTGCTTATTTGTTCTTCTAGCGAAGTGATAAAACTCTGTTTGCCTCGAGGTGCGTCGGATGCAGCAGTCCGCGCCCTTCGCCCCTAGGATACTCGGGCTCCAGGCTCTGGCCCTCGAAATGAAAAGGACTCGACTCGAGCCATTCACCTCCACTGCGACATGCTTACGAGGCGGGAAGCATCGGGAAGCCATCGGCAATAAAAACTGAAAGCTACGAAACCCTCCCAGGAGTCTGGGAGCCTTCCCGCAGGCTGGGGAGCGGCTCTCCTTTCGCATTGGTCCGCAGGAAGAAGCACAAAACTTGCTCCGACTGCAAGTCGCTGTCGCTGAAGCGCTGGGCATCATCGAGCTTGCCGAAACGGCACTTCTGATGTCCAGAGGCTTGCGCAGCTGCTGACTCAAAGTAGCCCAGCTCTTTGAAACACCAGTCGACGTCAACGCAAAGCCAGTGATGATCCTTCAGTTTCTCGATGACCAAGAACTCTACCCAGCTGCCCTGCATATGTAGCAGGCAGCAGCAGGGCAAGTCCATGGGCAGTGTCGCAGACATCACGCAGCAACGCTACGAATCAATGTCGTGTCTGTGCATCGGACTGGTGACGAAAAGGATGGTCTTGAAAGCACTACACGTGACAGAAAATCCAGATGCTGACATGGCGGCAGCCGACAGAACAGTTGGTGTTAGCAGGTCAAGGCCGGCTGTTGCACGGAGCCAAGGCCCAAGCTTGATGGCCTTTCGTAGCTTCCGCTTTTCATCTTCCTCTTTCTGCTTCTGACCTTCCTGGCACAAGACGGTCCTTTCCTGAAAACCTTGGAGCCTAAGAGCTGGCTGAGGCTGTCAAAGAGGTTCGTGCTGTCTCTGAGGGCTCGCTGCCCGCTGCGTGGCCCCTCGTGCCTTGTAGGCCCAGACAGAGAAAGCAACCCAGCTGCCAATCACCACCTGAGTTGGTTTGGCAGTGTTCGGACATACCTATAATATAATTGCTCGGACCGCATCGCACATTCCAGCGACTGGGTCAAAATTTTGAACAACAGGAACCCACGTCCACAAACATCTTACGCATGAGAAGTAAATAATGCAAAGTCACGAGTAGGTGAATTGTATGCACTTTCGGCACCGATGTGTCAAGAGTAGTTGTTCATTGAGATCCAGCTGGCAGCTTATGCTCTGTATTTGCGGGTCCGGGACCACACATCTCACCCCTCGTTTGTCGCTGGCACGACTCCTTTTCCAGGGACATGTCATGTCTAAGAAGCATTGGGCTTGGGCCCCTGCAACAGGCATGACAAGCAGGAGGTTACCCACCTCGGAGCACGTCTCGTGGTGCCCCCTCGGCCCTGTGTTGTAAACTCCGTGGGCCGACACGACGACATGCTTCGCGGAGCTTCATCCGAAGCCCAAGGCCCATGCAATGGGATCAAGCCAGTCCGGAAGCTTCGGCAGGACCTTTCTTCGCAAAAACTCGACCGCTGCCAGTCTGGATGATCTCTAGTGCTCGACCAGCCCACTGGATCTGGAAGCCCTAGTCACCCCGTGACCCCAGTGGAATTGGTGCGTGCCTGGCTGATCACCTCCTGCTCTCGAGCGTTTTCTGCAGCCTCCCAGATTTTCAAGCACATGGGTGGGGGGATGGCGATGCTCAACCGCTGCGGCTCACTCATCAATTCTCATATTCACCTCTGTTTCAACATGCATCTGAACATGTGGCTCTTGTGAGGCAGATGGACTTTGCAAATATTCATCTGCCTCTCTTCTAATGATTCTAACGAGCACCTCCGGTGCAGATACAAGCATACCCACATACTTACCAGCTGTTTAATCCACCTACGTACTCGCTTGCGAAAGTTCTCAAGCACTGAAGCACTCTGACTCGCTGCATATCTGCTTCCGATTGCCTCAAGCCCGAAAAACCTGCCTCACTGTGGTAGCCTTGATGGCGACAAGACAGATGAACAAGACGGGGGAACACCCTGGCATCCAAACCCCGGGCCCCGGGGCCTCCAGCAGTTCATCGCCAGTTGGGATCTCCCCCGGCTGAAGATCAGCCCGTCGTGGGAGCCGAGAGCTGCCTACCAAGGGCTGCAAAGAGGCAGCAAAGCACACTGAGCAGCATGCGAGCAGCGCGTGCACACATGACCTCTGCCAGCACGCTCGATGCCTCTGGGGAACACGAAAACCTCACACGCACGCCAGCTGCAACAGTTGGCGTCAAATCTTCGCACGCCTTAAGTCTTTAAGAAAGTGCAAACATAAACCGGATGCACACTGCCGGTCTGCATCGTGAGCCTGTGCTATCTGCACCGCTAGTCCCGACAAGCTCGGTCGGGCCTCCGTGCAACAAACGAGCAGCGTGAGTAGTGCCGCTGGCACCAGGCACCAAGCGGCTTCCCGCCTGGAAGCAGGCACGGAAGATACAAAAGACCTGAAGCCCTTCTTAAGAATGGTGGCTTGTCAGGCACATGAAATGGCAAACTTTCAGGACAGACCCGTAGTCGAACTGTCGAGGTTTGGTGTATACAGCTTGCTCAAACCAGTCCCGTTTGCCTTCGCCTTCTCGAAGGACTGTCCCTCAAATGCCACATCTTTAAGAGCCACTGAGACGGCTGCAGCACCGAGGCACATTTGACACTGATTGACACTGATTGCAGCCGCAAGTCGTCGTAGCAGTGCGCGCTTAGAGTGTAGGTGACGGTCACCAGGGGTAAAAGGTCTAAGAGTCTTTCCAAGGCAACATGCGGTTAGCAGCCCGTCACAGCTGCCGTGTGGAAACAGAAGCGGAGGGCGGCACCTAGCACGATGAAGACGATGCCCATCACCATGACAGCCTCCACGGGTTTCGCCGTGAGACGGTCGAGGCTCGGTCCCGGGTTGTTGACACCAGCATATTCTGTTGGAGCAGCCCTGGTTCAGAGGCAGGTGCTTCCTGCGTAAGGCGCCTCGTTGACAAGTCGGTCACGAATCAGGTCGCGAGCACCAATCGCGATCACGCCCAGCATTATCAGGACCTGATGTGTGCAATCCCGAATCCTGTCTCAGCAGTTCAGCTAACATCAAGTTGATATAGCGGGAATCTAGCATTGCATATATCAGCTCCCCACTCGGCTCTTGGCCAACCAGGTATCCAGGCAGCATGGCACAGCACGAATTTCAGCCGGGCTGCTTTCCATTACAATACAATCAGGTCACACCCTGCATGCAAGAGTCTGCTCCAAAGCATCTGGGCCCCTGTCAGCAGCGAACAGCACCAGCCGGAGATTCTGTTCCTGCGCACTCCCCCTCTTCTGAGTTCAAGTCGCCTTGCACTGCAAAGCAGCTGCCTCGAAGTGCTCACAACTGCAGGCCCGCATGAACTTCCGCTTCCTGGAAGTGCATTGCGACTGAGAACGGTGACGTGCGCACAATACTTCAAGACCCACCTCCTAGATCTGGATGCAGAGCTTCAAAGTTTCAAAGCCTCCCCTAAGACTGAACGGCGCACTTGCGGTGCATCTGGTAGCGCTCCACCGTCCAAAACCGAATGTCTTCGACCTGAGCTCTGCATGCCAGAGGCTGCATGGCGGCCGTCACCAAGACATGTCTCCAAAGATGGGCTTGCGGAGATAAAGCGTGGGCTGGGAACCAGAAACCATCAACCCCGTAATCTCTGCAGTGTGCCGATGGACCCGCACCTTTTCTGGAAGCTGTCTGGAAGCCAACGCACTCATCACAAAGATTTTCCGAGGTCTGAATCATTCTGAGGGTCGAGCAGTGAGGGCATCGGTCCCCCAAGGCAAAGCGGTTCCGAAAACAGCTAGACAGCTAGACACGTCTACTCCAAACCCAAACTGGAGAGGACTCTGTCGCTGGGGGCACTGCCGCTATAGGCCGGTCGTCCTTGGCACGGAATTTAGCGTGCTGATGCTTCTGGGGTAGATTTCTTCTCTCGATTGCAAAAGCGCATTTCCGGCTGTTCCCAGTGTTGCATGTCCGGCCGTTCTTCTGCAAGCTCCTGTCTGCAAAAGTGAATGGGCTGTGGAGACAGCGTTCCGGGCACACCCGTGATGTTTCGTCGCAGCACAACAGTTTGCTGGCAAGTGTGGGTAGAGTATTCCGCAATGTGCAACCACTGCCCCGGCTTCCTCTAGCTGAGTTGGGAAAATTGAAAACCCGTGCACAAAAGCTACAAGCCCGGTGTCATCGAATAGGCGACAACAAGTCGACGACATGTAGAAAGACCTGTTCTCAGAAAGCACCGGAAGACGCGAGATCAAGGAACCAACCTTGGGTGGAACCCAAGCCCACAACACTCATGGGAGACCTTTCAGCTGGAACATGCCGACACGATGTCATGAACGGAAGACTAGGCGTTCTCATGAAGCTACTCGCAACATACGGCACACCCCTCTTGCATCGTATTCGAGGTCGCTTTCTACCGTACATGGCCCTTTGGACACTGACACTGCGGCTCTGCACTGGGCACCCACACCAGTTCGGGTTCCGGCACTTCCTCTTCGACAGGTGCCTCCTTCGCCTTGTGTGGAGAAAGCGGTCTTCCGCAATCTTTTGAAGGGTTTCAGTAGCATCGGAGATGCTATTATAATTAGTCTCGCTCGACCCCTAGCCGTCGAACGCTTGACAGTGCGATCAGAGGTCTTCAGCTAAAATTGTGGCAAAATCATGCCTCAAAATGGTCGGCAATAGCCCCACCGCCTATTTTGCAATAAGTGGGTGAATAAACACGGAGAAACGTCGATGCACACAAGCCGGTGCAAAGATTCTCACGTGTTGGCGACTGTATGTATATATGTATATGTAATCATATATGGATGTTTGTATGTATGTGTGTATGTAGGTATGTGCGTACGTGAATCTTTGTATGCACGTGTGTACGCAAAACACTGGTTCTGCCGCGACGGGCTGGCCCCTCCTCCCCCTTCGCCCCTCCATTTGGTGATCCCCGTCCCCAGGAATTGTGTGAAATTGTGTGGAATGGTTGGGTGGTTCAAGCCTGATCATCCGCGCCCCGAACGGCTCGGGCCCTGAGCTTCGGAGTTTAGTCCCCCGTTTTTGCTGTGGAACAGGCTCTTCCACCCGTGCGCTGAAGGCTCAAGCCACCATTGAGGGGGAGGGGGAGGGGGAGGGGTGGCTGAGCAAAATCGGGTCTGTTCGGGAGCTACTGTTCGGGCACTTGTGCAGGTCCGAATCCACGAACGGCCACGGGGCGATTTTATGTAGGCCACTCGGGGCTCATCTTGGGTATCGTCCTATGCAATTTGGAGACGCCGTCTACTGTCCCAAATCTCCATCCCGAAAAGCTCGACACCCTCACCAAATCCTAAACTCTCTAAATCCTCGCTTGAACGAAAGAAAGTGCTGAGGCAATGATGGCAACATGGCTGTATTTCGACTCACACACTCGCACAAGGCTGGCATGCTGTGTTTAGGGTATCGTTTCTTCCGTGTTATGGATCAGCCCTACATGTGTCGTCTTCGACGACCCCATTCTTTGAAACACAAGTGTAGCAAAACAAAAGTGCAAGCCCAAAGACATTTTGTATGTCCAAGCATGT